AAAACATTACCAACATTCCAGAATCCTTTGTCTTTCCTTCAATTCTTCCTTTCCCAAGGGTATGCATTATCCTGACTTCTAGCAGCATGGTTTTGTTTTTGTATTGCATATGACTAGAATATCATAGTATGTACCCTTGTATCTGGCTTCTTTGATATATTATTATTTTCATCCCTTTTGCTGCTAGTCATAAAGCATGTATTCTCATTATTATATAGCATCCCATTACGTGAATGTGACACAACTAATATATAAATTGACAAAAAAACATTTTAGTGTGCATTTGAGTAGTTTCTTACTTTTGGTTATTTAACAACAGTATAGACTTTTACATGACTAAACACCTTTTGGTGAACGAACACACACACACACACACACACACACACACACACACACACTTCTGGTTGGTCTATACCTCAGAGCGAAATTGCCAGGTTCTGGAGTGTATTAAGAACTGTCAGTTTTCCAAAGTATTTATACCACTTTACATTCCCATCCACAGAATTTTAAGTTGTTCTACATCTATACTATAACTTGGTATATCTATATGTTCATTTTTCATTCTGGGAGACATGTAGTGGTATGGCATTGTAGGTTTAATTTACATTTCTGATGATTAATTATGACACTTTACCACGTTTACTGACCATTTGAGTATCTTTCTTTGTAAACGTTTATCATTATTTTTCTGCTGGTTATTTGCTCACTGATTTTAGGTGTCTTTGTATATTTTGAATAGAAGCTCTTTATTGAATATGTATATTGCTGAATTGTTGGATATATATCTTTAACTCCATTAGCTGCCTTCTTTTTCATGATGTCTTTTAATGAATTAAGAGTTTTAGTTTTAATATGATCCAATTCATCATTTTTCTCTGTGTGATTGTTTTGTTCTCTTTAAAAAAATCTTGGTCTACTCCAAAGCACAAAGCATTTTTTTTTTCCCTAGCTTTATTTAACCTTTCACATTTAGACTTGGAATCAATTTACAAGTAATCTTGATGTATGTGTCATGTAAAAGTAAAAAGACAATTTTTTCATATGAGTATCTAATTGACCCAGCAATATATACTGAAAAGATCATTCCTTTCTTACTGCACTGCAGTGTCACCTTTGTCATCAATCCAGTGACAACTTATGTGCTTTTTATAGTAGTGACATGGTTTTAACTGATAATTTCCAGTAATGAATGGAAGTCAAATGCTCAGTCTCAAAAAAAAAAAATGCTCAAGCCTTAATTTAAATCTAGATAATTAGTTATAGTTTACATGTATTCTGAGAGGGCAAGGAAAACCCTATGAAAAAGTTTAAAATATCTGTTAGTAATGAGAAGATAAGAGGAAAGTTATGGCCGGGTGCGGTGGCTCAAGCCTGTAATCCCAGCACTTTGGGAGGCCGAGGCAGGTGGATCACGAGGTCAAGAGATCGAGACCATCCTGGTCAACATGGTGAAACCCCGTTTCTACTAAAGATACAAAAAATTAGCGGGGCATGGTGGCGCGTGCCTGTAGTCCCAGCTACTCAGGAGGCTGAGGCAGAATTGTCTGAACCCAGGAGGCGGAGGTTGCAGTGAGCCGAGATCGCGCCATTGCACTTCAGCCTGGGTAACAAGAGCAAAACTCCGTCTCAAAAAAAAAAAAAAAAAGGAAAGTTATTGTTGCATATTAAACACTGTAAGTTTAGTAGGAAATTGGGTCCCTACTCTCCAAGTATGGGAGGCAAGATTCAAGACAAATACCAAGGAACTGTATACAAAATCATGTGGTACAGACCAAGTATTATACAAATTAAGGAAAAGACCAGTGAAGGATAGAAGAGCCAGAAAATGTTTCATAGAGGAAGTTGGACTCAAATCCTTGAATTGATTTAGGCCTGATTAGGTCACTCTTAATGCAAAATATTAGAGCCTTCATTTTTGTTTTCTGTAGCTCAATATATTAAATCCGTTATCAAATCCTGCTCTTATTTCCTTAGAGGCCTCGAATCCACCAACTATTACTGAGTTTTAGAACAGACCAGAGAGACCTCTAACCCTGGCTGCACACTGAAACACCTGGAGAGCCCTTAAAAAGTACTGACATACAAACCTCATCAGACTAATGACATCAGTCTGTGGGTGTGGGGCCAAATCGTCAGTATTAAATGCCCTCAGGGGATCTAAGTGTACTGCTAAAGTTGAGGACTTTGAATCAGTGGTTCTCAACCCTGGTGATAGAGTTGTCAGATAAAATTCAGAACACCTGTTGAAGTTTTGACTTCCAATAAGCAAGTATTTTTGTCTCATAGGAGAAATGTAGCAATAATTAAGGACATTTTTGTCATAACCCTGGATTGCTCTTGGTATCTAGTAAGCAGAAACTAGGGAATGAAGCTAAACAACCTACAATGTCTAGGACAGTCCAAACTACAAAGGTCTGGTTCAAGACGTCAGTAGTGCAGAAAAGTGGATAAACTGCTTGGGAGCAGCAACAGTCACAAGGAGAAAATAAAGTTGGAACTACAGAGAGAGATTTCTTTAAATGTAAGGACTAGATTGATATTACAAGTAACAGAAGCCCAAGAAAGACATGAAGGCTTTAAACTTGAAGCTAGAGAACTATTGTTCGATGTCTAGCATTCTATAATTGAATTTTTAGATACATGTTTCAGTAAATTTGCAAAGAAACTCAGAGCAGATAGAGTTCAATGGAATGAATTCCTAATTTTATGAAGTGGCAGCAGTATTAGTTAACCCAAAAGTTCTTTCAGTTTAAATTCTGCAACTCTTTGATATTTTTAATCACTTAATACACTTCTTGACCATGAAGAGTGAATATAGAAAAGAAATATATATATAAATAATGGAGTCACAGCCAAGTCCCACTGCTGGGTCTTAACACTAGCTGCATGACCTGATACATGCTATTTCCCATTTTGTCTACTATAAAACGAGGAATATGGATCACATTATCTGAAAGATCTCTTTCAGCATTTAATTTCTATGTGCTTGATAAATTTTCATCAATGTAACCAGCACCCAAGAACTAAAAATCCTAAGCTCTTGGGAAAACATAAATTTCACAACAAACTCTTCAGTGACAAATCTAATGTTAACTTCAATGGCTCAGTCTTATTTCAAAAGGTAACAAATTTACGTTTAAGATACATAATTTTACAAATACTTTCTTGTCCACAATGTCCTGATCAAGTGAACAAAGTTACTTGAGGTGCTTTTTCTGTGGTTCATAATAGTCAGCCACTTTGTATTATTATACTTCAGTAAGAGTTCCTTGGGTTATATTTCAAAAACCTGAACCTTGACAATACTTTAGAAAAAAAAGTTTTTAATTAACAGTTACTACTGATCATGCTATTTGTCCTGGAAATCTTGTTAAAAAGCAGGTTGGTAAGAGTCTCACCACCATGTACCCTATCTCAGTACAATAGAGTGCACAGACTTAGCTACCAATAGGGAATAAGTATCATTTTCAATCGGTAAGTGACACTTTGTAATTGTTAAAGCAAATGTTGAAATTTCAAGGGAGCTTGGCTTGAAGAATGGTGCAAGATAGGAAATGCCTGAATAAGCAAAATACACATTAGAAATAATGAGAGTGGTGCAAGGTACCTGACCAAATTCTGTATTGTATAAAGCTGTTCTCTGCACTGTGGGATGTTCAGCACTAACCCTGTCCTCTACTTACGAAGTTCTGTAGCACAACTCCCCCACATCTAATGTCTCCCAACATTGCTAAATTTCCCAAGGGGCAAAGCTGCCTCAATTCAGAAGCAATGAGAAGGCAAAAACTATGCAAACAAGTTTGATACCATACATGATAACAGGAGCTAATTTCACAATGTTGAGTAAAAGAAACCAGACACTAAAGTGAACATATAGTTTCATGTACATGTATGTGTACATATACATATGTGTATATATCTATATATAAAGCATCAAAATAGGCAAAACCAACCTATACTAAGGAAATCTGGACAGTGGTTACTCATGGGAAGGGCAAGGGCTGGAAGCATGTAAGTACCTAGATGGGAGAAGGATGTGTTTGAGGTAGTCTGTTTTTTGATCTGGGTGCTGGTTACATAAAGAAAAATTTATTGAGCACATATGAGGTGTGTGTGTGTGTATATATATATATACATGTATGTGTATATATGTGCGTGTGTGTATATATATGTGTATATATATATGCACATAAATTCTGTGTGTATAGATATATATACACACACATACATATGTATACACACACACACATTCAATAAATGTCCTTCTAAATGCTGCTGCAATCACTATACTTCATCATTCCATAATGAATGACAACTTTCCAGCTCTAGATCATAAGCAACACCTATTATCAAATGACAAGTTAACTAAGCTGAGAGTTTTAAAACAAAGTCTGATTAAAAAGTTATCTCCATGTAGTCCTTTTCAAAACAGGCATTTCATTAAATAAATAAAAAACAGAAAAAATCTATTTCAATTTTTTTTGTAGAAATTAGTTTTATTCCTGAGATCTGCCTATTTCTATTTGCAAAAGCTTCACAAATGAAAGGTAATTTTTCTAAAGTTTATAATGCTGTAAAAACAAGGTTGGTCTCAAATGAGGCATTCCGTAAAGTACTACAGTTTCCACCTATTGCTAAAATTGAAAAAATATAATTTGGCAGTTGAGGCACGGTTTTTTTCTGAAAATAAAATGTTTATCTATCTCAACTCAAGCGTTGAGAGAACTACCTTTTTAGTAGATATAAGGATAAGACTCATGTGCATTTAAAGATCTATTATCCTTATTCTTCTTTTCCTGAATATAAATTATTTCAAAATAATACTCAGACTGGTACCACAACACTTAACAGACAATAAAGGTAAAATTAGAAAAAGTAAAGTCTAAAATGAATCTAAAATTCTCAACTGCATTATTAAAAAGAACTTTAAAAAGACAAAAAGAAATTTCTTAAGAATCATAATGGTATTTTTAAAATATTGTAATGAAAAGACACATTACTGTAACCAAATGTGTGATTTATTTTTGGAAGAAAATAATTAAAACTGAGCCTTTTTGCAATAAAGGGGAAAAATAACAATAATAGATCATACCCTGGTTTCAAGCTAATTACCACATCCTATACAATGTGGATGTGCTCAACATGTATTCAATGATATAATAATGAACATTTGCAATTTTAAAATCCCAATCACTTGCCAATGTTGTAAATTAATAAATGCTGAAATAAATACTTAGAAATAAGTATATTTTAAAAACTTCAGTTTGACAGTGTTTTACAGATCAACCCAAATATTGCATACAAATAGTACAGCAAATAAATGGATATTTCTGCTAATTTCCACTTAATTTCTTCATAATATGGCTCTCTGGTGTTGCATTAGTGAAGATACTTCCCACAAATACATGGGTACCCCAAAGACTGTGACGAATCACTTTACAGCATCCAAGGTCATCAACAGAGAATCCTAAATGTCGGTAGCGTTCGTCAGTTTCAAAAAGAGTGTTGTTTGTATACGGTCCAAAAAACTGAGAAAATAAAAATGAAATATTTTCATTAGTAAGAAAGACTTTTTAGTAATAACTTTTAGGTAAACATGAACACCTATCTACTTTAATACTCCAACTATTTAAAAAACTAAGTAAAAAGTCACATGCAACACTTAAACTGCCTTAACACTCCTTTCCCTCAATTCCTAGGCATTCTGGAAATGTAAAATGATCTAGCAAATTTCATGTTACCTAGAATCAAATATTGCACATCCTTTAAAGATGGAGTAAACCTTAGGTAATTATCTATGTTCATCATCATTTTCAAGACAAGAAAACTAAAGCCCAAGCAAAAGTTTTCCATTTCTCGATTATATCTTACTTGACTTTGAGAAGAAATGGTATATATTCCTATCTCGAGATTCAAATAATAATTTGATTACTACTTGTAACTGAAAGATAGATCCAGAATTTAAAAGGTGACTACAGTGGTAGTTATTTTCTTTAAAGTATAACCTTATAAATGTCAATTTCCAAAAATCTACTGGTATAAATATTTGTTTTTACCAGTTGTATTTTACTCAATTAATTCTAAGAATAATTATTTCTTCCTTATAGAAATTAGACTGTACCAATTTATAATTTTCAACTTATAAAAAGTAAACACACTAATTCAATGCAAATCAAATATATATCTACTAGTGAGAGCAGAAAGTAAAAACTATTCATTTTAATTTAAAAAATTAAAGGAGAAACCTAACTGTGAGTGATAGAGGTATCTGAAAAGTTGTGAATTCAACTGACTCACAGTAGTATTTCTTTGGGTAAAATTGTGAGATTTTAAAAAAGTCTTAAATAATCTATGACAAAAGTTATAAACAAATTTTATAATAAAAATCATCTCTACATAATCTGATTTTCAAATACTAATTACTTACTGCCAAACCAGATGATGGGTCAATAAAGTCAGCCCAATAGCCCTCAGCTCGAAGAGCAAAACAAATTTCCTTAGCACCATTGATGAACTACAATGAAAGTCACAAATAATATGCTTAAGATAGCAGATCGTTTTATTTTTTAATAAAATTTTAAGTGACTATCTTGTTTCAGAAAAGAACTGAAACAAGATTTATAAAAAATAAAACCCAATGGCAAAGTAGACTGTAAAGGCATAAGATTATTTTCACTATTCAGAAGATTAATGGTTAATAACACTTCAATTTCTTTTAAAAAGACTAAATTCTAGAATTCTTCTGAAGTCTTTCTTACTTTATGAACCTCTTCTAATCAGTTCTGTGCTACTAACTTCTGAATCTGTCATAAATTATCAACTATGCTGCTATTTTATATTATTATGGTGATAATAGAAATAGGTAAAGGAAAATAAAATACTCAGTGAAAAGATCTAAAACATTCATTAGTTTAAATCAAAGTTGCTTAAAAACATTTACTTGTTTGTCCTTCAAAATATATGTGTACTCACATAATTATGAAATAATTCTGAAAAGGCACATATAATAGAACCTGGTAAATGGTATACAGAGTTAAACGTGGTACTTGCTTTTTATCATATACCCTTCTATATATTTTGTATAGTGTACAATTGCTACTACCATGTGCATTTATAAAAATTTTGGTCTTATTTTATAAGATGTTTTATTAGCTTTACCAGAAGTCTAAAAGATAGTAAGAAGTATTAAGATCAGACTACAATGTTGAAATAAAGAAGAGACCATGAATATTTAAAAATAAGGGCACACAGCTACTCAGGAGGCTAAAGCAGGAGAATTGCTTGAACCCGGGAGGCGGAGGTAGCAGTGGGCTGACATTGCGGCACTGCACTCCAGCCTGGGTGATAGAGCATGACTCTGTCTCAAAAAAAAAAAAAAAAAAAAAAAAAAAAAAAACACCACTAAAACAAAACCCTAAAACAAGGGCACAGTTCCACTTCTAGCCATAACAGAGTAATAAATACTGAACTCACCATCCTGTTGTAAAACTATAAAACTGATCAAAATACATGTGGCAACTATTTTTAGACCCTGAATAACAGGTGAGACAAGACTATAATCTTTGAGAGAAGGGAAACAGCTGAAGTAATCCCTATTTTTGTTCCAGCTTTCTGTCTGTGGACATTTGCCTGTCACAGGGCAAAGAACGGGAGCCCAAGCAAAGTGATGGTGTCATTGAGCTGAGGAAGTGGAAAGTAAGACTTCTAGACAGCTGAGGCACCTGGGATATGTAGGGCAAGGTATTGGGAAATAAAGAGATACGTAAAATGGGCTCCTGAATTAGTCTGCAGAGCTATTCACCCTACTTTCTTAGCTAAGGGCTGAGCTGTGTAGTCATGAAGCAAGACTCCAAGAGGCCTAGCAGAGAGTGCCAGCTGTGGGGCTGAAAGTGGAGCTGGACACATGGATTTCTGACCCACCCAGAATGAAAAAACCTTACTGAGCACCTCTGGTATTCAGCTAAAATCTCCAAAAGTCCAAGCCTTACAAATAAAGACTGTATCATAATTCAGAGATTAATAAGCTACAGCCCAAGGGCCAAATCTGTTCTGATGCCTATTTGGATAAACAGTTTTACTGGACACAGCCATGGCAATTCATTTACATATTGTCTACAGCTGCTTAACAACACAAGGGTAGAGCTGGGCAGTTGAGACCCTACAGCCTACAGAAGCTAAAATATTTTACTATTTGGCCCTCGATAAGCAAGTTTTATGGAAGCTCATTGTTTTGGACTAGCCTCCTGCACTAAGTCCCAGGAGAGACCAACCCAGAATGGAGTCACTCATGCTAGGTACTGCCTAATCGAACTGAATTCGAAACAGACTAGTTTTAAAACAAACAAACAATAAAAAACCCAGGAGATTCACAACAACCAATCGGAATGAGCCTAGTTTACCTGAACCAGCATAAGAAAGCCACCTCTGTTTTAACCCTACAAGGAAAGTAACTTTGAAAGGAACAGTCTGCTTCTTTTTCCTTATTTGTGCTTTCTCCAGTTCTTTACCATCAATAAAGCCAACCTCTTCTGCTTTTTAACACTCAATCTAGTTTACAGAATAAAGTGTTGCTTGATTCTAGAATTTCAAATAAAAACCAATTAGATCTTTAAACTAAATTGGTTGTAATTTGTCTTTTGACACCCTTTACAGAAATAGTTGATCTATGATAACTTGTTTTCTCTCAATACTTTCTTGTAAACAATAAACATTAAGATAATACTGTATTCTTTAGATTATCTCCCATATTTATTGCTGAATTTTATTAATCCTCATAATTCTTAAAAATAGAAAAACTACTGAATATGGCTTAGAAAATAGTTATTAGAGGCCAGGAGCAGTGGCTCACGCCTGTAATCCCAGCACTTTGGGAGGCCGAGGCGGGTGGATCACGAGGTCAAGAGATCGAGACCATCCTGGTCAACATGGTGAATACTAAAAACACAAAAAAGTAGCTGGGCACAGTGGCGCGTGCCTGTAATCCCAGCTACTCAGGAGGCTGAGGCAGGGGAATTGCCTGAACCCAGGAGGCGGAGGTTGTGGTGAGCCGAGATCGCACCATTGCACTTCAGCCTGGGTAACAAGAGCGAAATTCCATCTCAAAAAAAGAAAATAGTTATTAGAACGTATTTCAGTTTAATGAACAGATGTGTCGTACATAAACACTATGAGGAGAGCAATTTAATGAACAGATGTGTCGTACATAAACACTATGAGGACAGCAAAACAATGTAGTGAACTCAAATGTTTACAAAGGTTAACTGAAAGAATCTCCAATTAACACAGAAAACCAGCGGAAGTATTTTTCTGAATATTTCTGTTCACCAACACTGACATCTGCTGGAAAAAATTAGAATAGATTTAAACCATAAAATATCAAATGTCTATTTGAAAAGCTAGGTGTGGTTCCAAAATAATCACTAAAAAATCTTTAATTAAAAAAAAAAAACAAAAAACTTTTTCACAGAAAATAAAATAGCTTCTTCAGTCATTACATTATTAAAACTCTCAAGATGAAGCAGGTTGCCCTGAAACTGGTTATAGAAAACTAACTTAGAACTATACTGGAGTCAGCATCAAATTAGGTTCAGAATCTTAAACTGACCAAAAACTGGAACTACTAATGCAATATACATGTGATAATATACTAGCACCTCAATGACAGTGATGAATATATATTTACTAAGCATTATGTCTTATGCCTCTCTATAATTCCCTTGTTAATTAGCATATAACTAATATGCTTGTGATTGTTAAAAAATACATGAACTCTATTAGCAGCTATATATAACATTTAAATGTAAAATTATGATATGGTTGAATATGTAAATTACAACATACTTTTACAAGTAAAGAAGACCATACATCTAATCCCAAAGAAAATATAAAATAATTCCTAACATCCTGCACAGAAATTACTAAAGGGATTTTTCAACTCAAGTTAGTAACTTGGGCTCCTTAGCTAACCTGAGTTGAAAGAACTGCTAACATCCAGGGTATTCTAGCATGACAGCATATAGATATACTAGCACAATCTTTTTGGTGAGCAAATTGGAAGTGTCTATCAAAATTTTAAATGTAGATACACATTGATTCAGTAATTCTCTATTTAGGAATCTATAGATATTAGCATGCATAAAAGTATTTGTAAAATGATTGTCACTGCTTATTGCCTATAATAGCAAAAGTTGGATTTTAAAATTATAAACTACTAAGAAACTTGTTTTTTAAGAGATGGGAGGTCTCAATTTGTTGCTCAGGCTGAAGTGCAGCAGCACAATCAAGGCTCACTACAGCCTCGACCTCTCAGACACAAATGATCCGCCATCTAAGCCTCCAGAGTAGCTGGGACAATAGGCACGCATCACTATACCTGGACAATTTTTTTTTTTTGTAGAGACAGAATTTCACTACATTGCCCAGGTTAGTCTCAAACTCCTGGACTCAAGCAGTACTCCTACCTCAGCCTCCCAAAGTGTTAGAATTCTAGATGTGAGCCACTGCATCTGGTTAAATTCTTAAACATTAAAAAAGTTTATGGCTTACGCATGTGATATAATACTACGTAGATTTTATAAAGAATGAAATATATCTATGTGTAATGGTATGGAAATATGTCAAAGCACACTTTTGGTTAAAAGCAAAACAGAAAAAAATGTGGGTATACATTATTATGCTATTATTGTATTGATACTGTTACTGTTTACTCCCTGGAGAGGGTTGGCATAATTTTCACTTTTTGATATATTCTAAGCCCAGGAGAAAGGCGATGAAGATGGAGGAGAAGATGGGGAGATGAAGGGGGTGATGGAGGAAGAGGGAGAGGGGGAGGCTGAGGGGAGAAGGATAAGGACTCAATATTACCTTTTTGTCATTTTTAATATTTTCCAAAATAGACTTTTTAAAAATAAATTGAAGAAATAAACAGAATCTAAATTTTTAAGGATACTAAAAATGTTGTACTTTTATTCTCAAAAAAGATATAAGTCCTTTAGTAGTATGATACTTTGGCAGAAAATTAATAAAGGCTAGAAATGACAGTCATCATTTTAAGACATTGGTTCACTGTTACTTAAATAATGACCATAAAATTAATTATTAGCAATTGAAAGAATTACCTTTTCTAAGAGCACTTCTCTTTCAATTTCTACTTCTTCACTCCAAACAGTCATATCGTTCTTAGTTTTTTGTGTTACAGTCAGAATCATTAGTTTGCTATTAGCTACTTCTGGAAACAGTGATTCGAAATCTACAAATAAGAATAAACATTCCAGGAAGAAAAGAATTAAATTTTTAAAGAACAAATTTTTAAAGAAGCATAAAAATACTTCTTTAGAAAAATGCTGATTAAGTAAAATTACCACAGTATTATTTTTATAAATGCATATTATTCTTGAAAAGGGTAAAATTAACTTAGTTTTGTTTACTTCTGCCTTTGTTGGATAAACTGAAATATTACTATCAACAATTCTGAGGGTAAGTAGGGTTATATGTTATTCGGGGTTGATATAATGTTCAAAAATGCTTATTGTTAAGATTTTTCAGTATTATACTAACTTATAAAATTATAACTCCAATAATCACCCCGGAGTAAAAATGACCTTAATTTAGCCTTAGGGAAAAAAGTTATTAAAAATTTTACTCTTCCTATCTAATGGGAGCATGAGGTCAGATGTCACAGGACATTTGAAAGCCTTTATCTTGGCCATGCAATTGCTTCCAGCCAGATACAGTAAAATATAGTATTAAGGCATAGAGCATTCCAATTCCTATAGAGTAGGTTATTCAACATATTAAAAAAATAGTAACAGTATTTCAAAGTATAAAGCACGGCATACCTTTTCGCAGCAATTCTGGACATGTTTGTATTGCACACTCTACTCTGGCACTTTCAAAGTAAGTTTCTGCACTGTTAATTTCTTGTTCAACAGGTGCATCATTACCCTAAGGGGAACAAGGATGTACGTCAACAAAATCTGGAGTTCAAATAATATGGTAGCTTTCCTGTTATAAATTTGTACCCTTAGAAAGCTTTTTTTTGGTTTGTTTTTACAAATAATTATAATCTAACTGGGAGGTGAGGTAGAAACATTTTCTTATTTACTCAAACTTTTCTCTACAATGAATATAAGATTTGGAAGTTCTAAAAAATGTGAATACAGTAAAACATGAAAATATAAATATACTGATATTGTAAGACTTGAAATGAACAGGAATTGGCTAAATAACTAAAATGCCACAATGTGTCTCATAATGTTACCGCTTCTATTTTATGATATTTATCTTTTCTTCTATAATGTGTAAAATGGGGATAATAATACTAATTTACAATATAACATGATTAAATAACATAGCTTCTCCCTCAAGAAGAGCTTAGAGGCTTTTATTAAACTGAAATTTACTGAGAGCCTAGTATGTATCAGGCACTATGAAAGGAGCATGTACTGCAATGGTAAAAAATTCAGTCTTCACTCTCAGCTATTTTAGGTCTGATAAAAGAAATAAGCATAAGCAAGTAAGTGTAATTCAATATGAAAGGTACTACAGAGTTATGAATAACGTCTTATAGGGACATAGATGAGGAAGAAACTTACTCTGCTAGGGGGAATTAGGAAAGGATTGAAATGGTCAGTTTGAGCTACAAGTTAATAAATGTGTTATGTTTGACAGGTAAAAATAGGTGGTATAGAGGTTGGAATTCAGGAGGAAAAATAGTCCAGCAAGAGATAATAAAGTACAAAGTCACAGAATGGTGTATTCAAGAAAAATGGAAAGTATCTTGTGGCTGGAGTGCAGAGGGAATAGGAAGTAGTGACAGATAAGGTGGGAAAAATAAGCCATCAAAATTGTGAAATGCCACTTATTCAACATTAAGCAATTTGGACTTCAGTCTATGGGCAATGAGAAACAGCAAGGTCAAATACAAAAAACTAATGTTGCATGGAGGAAATATGATCGTGAGGAGGGACAGGAGATAGACCAGTGAACAGGTCATTTATTGAACACTTAGTATGAGAATTCATGTACTTTACATACACTTTCACATTTACTTGTTGCAGTAATCTTGAGGACTGGGGCTGGGCACAATGGCTCATGCCTGTAATCCCAGCATTTGGGAGGTTGAGGTGGGTGGATCATTTGAGGTCAGGAGTTTGAGACCAGACTGGCTAACACGGAGAAACCCCCAACTCCACTGAAAGTACAAAAATTATCTGGGCATGGTGGTGCATGCCCGTAATCTCTGCTCCTTGGGAGGCTGAGGCATGAGAATTCCTGGAACCCAGGGGCGGAGGTTGCAGTGAGCTGAGACCATGCCACTGCACTCCAGCCTGGGTGACAGAGCAAAACTCTGTCTCAAAAGAAAAAAAAAAAACTTGTGGGCTAGAGATTATCACTATTCCCATTTGACATATAAAGAAACAGGAGCAGCCGGGCGTGGTGGCTCAGGCCTGTAATCCCAGCACTTTGGGAGGGTAGGTGGGAGGATCACAAGGTCAGGAGATGAGATTATCCTGGCCAACACGGTGAAACTCCGTCTCTACTAAAACTATAAAAATTAGCTGGGCATGGTAGTACGTGTCTGCAATCCAAGCTACTTGTAAGGCTGAAACATGAGAATTGCTTGAACCTGGGAAGTGGAGGTTGCAGTGGGTCCAAATTTCACCACTGCTCTCTAGCCTGGCAACAGAGCGAGACTGTCTCAAAAACAAAACAAAACAAAACAAAAAACAAACAAAAAAAGAAAAAGGAGCTTAGAAAGGTAAAGTAATTAGTTGCTTACCGATTTATTCTATCTTAATCATCTGAACCAGATTTATTCTATCTTCATTGTCTGTCATGCTATAATGACTAAAAATCCAGGTTGGGACAAAGAGGCTTTGAACTCTGGCAAATAATTGAAAGGACACTAATATTTAAGAGCCATTTGAGAGAAAGAAGCAATGTGATTTTTATATTATTTATAGTGATATGATGGAGAGAGAGGGTTGGTGCTGTAATTTTTATCTTAGGAGAGAGGGGAGGATGGTTATTTCACTAATGGTTATACGAGAGTTAGGACATGTTTTAAAAGAAAAAAGATTACTTCAGTATTAGACACACAAAATCCGGGGAGTTGTGAGCCATCCAAATAAAGATGGTTCAGTAGGCATATAGAAATACAGAACCAGAAATGTCAGAAATAGAAATACTAAACTAGAAATTATAAAAACATAGACTGTGGAGGACACCAAGGGATTAAGTGGCCAAGGAGTGATTCAAATGAGAAAGTGAAGGACAGAAACTTATGGGAAATGTAATTTAATTGGTAGACAGAGGAAGAACAAGGAGCAAAGAAGGCTGAGAAGGAATTATCTGAGATAAAAAGACAGGAGAGGTCAACTGTGTCTCAGTGTCATGTCATCTAATATCTCAAATGCAAGGAATTGCTGCTACTAATTAATATAGCTTTGATTAAAAAAAAAACTCAGCCTAAAACTGCAAAAATATGAAAAGTGATTAGTATCAGGGGTTTGACAGAAACCCTGAATTGCATGTAGCTTTCCACTTGAATGAAAAATCGTAATTGCCAGTTAAAAAAGTTTAAAAATGACAAAAAGCCTTAGGAAATGGTTTAAAAAAATAAACTCATAAAACTAGTTCCTTTTTTTTTTCTTTTACTATATCTCAACAATTTCAGAGATCTCAAATTTTTCTTAAGCTTTTAAATGGCTAGAGGAATACAGAACCAGTTGGAATTAGATCCATATTCAAATTTAATTGTCATTATAAAAGTGAAAGACAGAGAACCTAAATTTCCAGTAGTATAGATATAATTACATTATCTACATTTGGAGTAGTTACTTAAAAACATATTTTTGAAGAAATATTTCATCAAAAAATTATAATCCACAATAAAAAAATTATATTGCAAACACTTTGTATAGGACAATGCCAAGTTCTCCAAAGCTATATATGTTATTTCTGTACATACATGTATTTGAATAAAGTGGATTTTTTACTTTTTCAACAAAAGTAATATGCTTATAGCAATTAAAAGTAATATAGCATTAACAATCAGGAAAGCACAATAAACGTTATCAACAATTTACCTGAAATTCATTCACGTACTGTGCCATCACAAACTCGTGTCTTTCACTTGATAAAGGTTCTCCTAGAACATCAGGCAAAGTTTTATGAACAAGGCTTTTCTTCTGTGAAGCAGTACCATTGAGGTGGCAATCAAAACCTATGTTCCCAGGAAGCTGGAACCTCTGATCTTGAGGTCCAAATGGTCCCATAGTTTCATCAGGCCACACTGTTCGAGAGCCTGAAGAGGAACAACAAAAGAACAGTTTCTCCTTAATAGTCAAGTATATTGGCAGACTGAAAGAATGCTCTTCTTAAAATTATGTATTTATTTACCTAAAAGATCTTTAAAATCTGCTTTCCCATGTGAATATAAATAGTGTCCTATTGTTTCCAAAACACTAATCAAAGCAACTAGTTGAGAGATCACAGGTAAGTTTATCATTAGCAGAAGGAATGAATAAAATACTCTAATTCATACTAAGAAATGCCTGAATGCCACTAAGATGAAGACAATAAACCTTTACGTACTGACACTGAATACAATGCATTAAAAGAAAAAGCTAAGTCAAAGAACAGCGTGTATAATAACATTTATTTACATCCTCATATTCATGTACTGTTTTGTTTTGTTTTGTTTTGTTTTGGAGACGGGGTCTGTGTCATCCAGGCTGTAGTAAAGTGGTATGATCATGGCTCAATGAAGCCTTGACCTCCGAGGTTCAAGTGAACTTCCCACCTCAGCCTTCCAAATAGCTGGGACCACAGGTGCATGCCACCATGCCCAGCTAATTTTGTTTATTTTTTGGAGAAACAAGGTCTCCTCTGCCTCAGCCTCCTAAAGTGCTGGGATTACAGGCATGAGCCACTGCGCCAGGTCCATGTTTTTACGTAAAGAGATTTAAGATGAAAGACACTAAACTAAGTAATGGTCATGGGGGAGGGGCATTCTGCTGCTGTTATTTGATGGCCCAAAACATTAATGCACTGGGAAAAAAATCATGCAGCACGTGGCCTAATGCTCTGTTTACCCACCACATGAATTACTATGGATTGCAAATACAGAGAGACCACATTACTTTATTCACTGAAAACTTAAAAAAATCCTAACTTTAAAAAGTTCAAAAAGATTCAAAAAAGAATATAGTAAATAATTAAACTAATAATTACTCACAGAAGGGTTTTGGGCTTAGAGAAACAGAGGGACAGCTGCTATGCATATTACTTAGCAATAAAAATAGGTATTTAAAAATATCTTGTAAGGGAACTAAGTAACTGAAAATGGCCATGTCAGTATGGCTGCCTCAGTCCTAGATCATGAGCCATCACATCCCTCTTCCACATTTATGACATACATCACCCGTCAATCATGGAACCATTTTCTGCTGAACCCAGACAATGTCTCAAGATTCTCAACATAAACACTCTAGTCCAATGCCTCTCAAACTCAAGATGTACTTAAGATACACCTGGGATCTAGTTAAAATGCAGATTCAGATCTAACAGGTCTGGAGTGGGGCTCAGGATTTTGCATTTCTAACAAGCTCCTAAATGATATTGATGCAGATCATGTTGAATAACAAGGCTCTATCTAGACAGCCACTAATGACTACTTAAGTCACTTTCCAAGATAAAATCTGTTAGCTATTTTTGAACAAGGCAGTTTTTAAAGGTCTAACAATTTCTAGTTCTTTTTACAGAAAACAGGTGTCCCACATTAATAGTGGATTTTTGAGAACTGGATTTCAGCCTATGTTAACTGGTCATTTAGGGTTTCTTTTCTGTAAAAGGCCTATTCATGTCCTTTGGTTTTTAAATTTCCTATTGGGTTGTCTTCTTCCTATTGATTCACTACGAATTCTTTATATATTCCAGATACCCCTCACATAATTTGAATGGCAAATCTTTCATTTGTGATAAATATATGGTCAGTCTTCAGGTGATGTAAACTGGGGAGTAGTCAGACAGAGTTAGAAAACTTGCCTAGGATGAAAGGCTTTGAATGGTCAAGTGAACTTAAATTACATTGTAAGTAATGTATGCCATGAAAAAAGGATTCCATGTGCAATATCTTTAGGACACATTAGGTTAAGTTTCTAAGAGTCTTTAATATTTTGGTGTACATTATTAAGCCTCCAAGACAGAAATATGGCATGTAGCATTTCTCAAATTTACCTAACCAGACACCATCCCCCCACCCCGCCTTTTTCTTTTTAACCTTGAACAATGCTTCATGGCTTGAAGGTAGTCTCGGAACTACTGCTGAAACCAATGAAAGGTAACAGGTTTTTCAAGAAACTGACATGGTTAAAATATTTTAGAATGATTAGCATGGAGGTGGTGTACCAAACAGATGAGAGGAAATAGACTTTGTAGACAAAGCAAGTAAGTTCTATAAACACTAATGCATAAAAAGTGCAAGGTACATTTATGAAATTTAGCAAAGAGTGGGAAGAAGTAATAGTATGGTTTAACAGGACCAAAAGGAGATTTGTTTCAGGGAAGACTGTATGTTTGAAGACAGAAAAGTTGTTAAGAAATTTCAGACACCAGTACTTAGTTTTCCTTCTTTTTTATATTGTAGCTTCCTGACCTATTTAGACAGAGCTGTTATTTGTTTTTCATGGAATAAACACAACTTTAGAAAAATCCACTAAAACCTTAAGAAGAAATATTAGAGGAAATACAACTAAAAATGTTTTGAAGCAATTATAAGTAAAGCAATAACAACTTTCACTTACATATATCTGGAGTTGCAGTGGCCACATGAGACTCGTCTGAACCTGATGATCCTGCAGTTGAAAAGGCTCTGGGATTGACAACCCTTTTAACTAAAGAGCAAAATCCTGGGAGATAGGAAACCAGTCTGACTTTGTTGCAAAGCACCTAAAAATGACACAAATTAAAATTGTTTGTTCTGAATATAAATGTTATACTTAATAGACAATCTCTGGCAAATCTTCAACACTGCAAGGTTCTTTTAAAACCAACGTTTATTCTATTTTTACTGAACACCTACTATACTACAAGCATTATATGTATTTGTAATTTTAAAAATAAATATTAAAAAATAAACAAGTAATAGTTTGGGTAAAAATCTATGTACTTTTCAATAAAGGCTTGAATTCAAGAGTGACACACATGAGAAAATAGGAATCTAAAAGTTGTCCCATTTAGACAGAACACTAAGAAGTTAGCACAACTAACAAGATTCTTCTATCCTCAATAAAGAACTCTCAAGACATCTCTCTGGACTAAAATCTATAATTTTCAAACTTTTCTCTCTTCTTTTATTGCTATAAATTGTGCTGATTCTCTTCCCATACTGTTCTTTCCTTGTGGTTTCATCGCAATGTCTGCTTTTCTCCATTTCTGCACATATCTTTGTGGTAAATTTTTTTCTGCTTGTGTGTCCCTTTCCTAGACTGTAAGGTCATGTATTACAATGGATAAATGTATAAATACCTTTCATTCATGAGTTTTTAATAAAGTAATTGGGTCAGAATAATTTAATGCAGGGATTGGTGAACGATTTCCCAATACAGCCCACTGTTTTGATAAATAAAGTTTTACTGTAACATAGCCATACTCATCTGCCTATGGTCACTTTCCCAGCATAACAGCAGAGTTAGGTAAGTAGTTGGAACAGAGATTCTATGGCCCACAAAGCCTAAAATATGCACTATCTGGACCTTTACATTAAAAAACAACAAACAAAACACACTGGCAACTCTCAGTCAATGAAAAATATATGAGAACAAATACCAAATCATCTGTGAAATGCTATGAAAACATCTGAATAGTTGTTAAGAAACCCTTGGAAGAAAAGGTAATGAATTTCATGGAGGAAATACTAAGTTTTGAAGACAGTAAAAATTTGCTTGGGAAAAGGTGCATTTCAATGAATGACTTTCAGGAACAAAGGTATAGAGACATATTTCAAAGAGTGACAAGTTTAATGAAGGCAGATATAAGAATGCAATATAAAAGAGGCCTGAAATTGAGCTTATAGGCAACCCTAAAAGACTATGTATTTGACACAGATGGTAAAGGGCTTTTACATCAATATGGTAAGTCAGAATTTTAATTTTCAGGCAGCAAAGAGTCAGAGAAAATTGACAAAATCAAAGGCTGCTTTAAGACACATACCACCAAGGGCAGTATAAAAAATGGACTGGAGGAGGAGTAGAGAGGTAGTGTGAAAACTAGTTACCAGGATGTTGGAAAAATCTAGCCATTGACACCTGAGAATTATTCTATTTCCTTTTCACATAGTATAGTACTCTAAAATCCAACCTACTTTTTCCTTCTACTTTTGTCACCACAAGCACAAGAGTGCATCCTAACTGGTCTTTTTGCCTTTCTAACATAATTTCCTACAAATTTTTACCCTCCCTTCCCTTACTCTACTCTTCAATCACATAAAAACATCTCCCCAGCATGTCCCATATTTCTCTTCACTCCTTATACTGTCACAAGATTTTTTCTGCTAAAAGATACCGTTTCCTTATTGTTCTAGGAAATTCTAGCAAATTCTTACTTTTTCTTTAAGACCTGGATAAATATAACTTCCTTTGTGATATGTGTCTTCAAAGCATTTTGTCTACCTGAAAATTTAAGCAACCTCTCTTCGGGTCTGTATCCAACTTGCCCAAAGAGACAGAAATGGTAATTATTTGGCTTTTTACTTACTAAACAAACTCAGACTTCTGGGTGTTTATATAATACAAATTTACCTTTACTACTAAGGATATTTAAGAGAATGGCTCAGGATCTAAAGGAATCTAAAATTTTAAATTCCAAAGATATTTTCAGCAAGGGCGGAAAATGAGCAGCAGCAAAATAAAAAATTATCTAAATGGCCAATATTTGAGAGCATGTAATAGTAATAATCACTCTATGTTGGACACTATGAGTGCAAGTTCTATGGTAAGTGCTTGACATATACACTGTTTTACTTAATTTTCGTAACAATTCTATATACTGTTACTAGAACTAGTTTTAGCATGATTAAAATACAATCTATGATCATTCACATCATTTCAAAAGCAAAAAACAGAAGGAAAAGAAAGATTATGTAAGTTATTTCAAATATTGCCTATTATTATTTTAGCCTGTCTACCAAAGCCATTAGATTATATTTTGAACATTCTTTTCTTGGTGATATAATTCTTAACAAAAGTTATATAATAAAATGTGAATTTTGTTGCTAGCCTAAGAAAATCCAATTACCAAATTTCATTTTAATGCCAAAATAAACCAGTATCTAAATTGCCCATTGAAAGAAATAGCCAATGATAGTACTAATCTGTTTCAAACTTTACCTGTTAACCTGTAAGATTCTCAAATCCTGGCCAGGCCTCGTGGCTCATGCCTGTAATCTCAGCACTGAGGGAGGCCAAAGCAGGTGGATCACCTGAGGTCCAGGAGCTCAAGACTACACTGGCCAACATGGTGAAAACCTGTCTCTACTACAAATACAAAAAAACAAAACAACAACAACAAAAAAACAATTAGTTGGGCATGGTGTTGGACACTCATAATTCCAGCTACTCGGGAGGCTGAGGCGGGAGAATCACTTGAACCCAGGAGATGGGCTTGAAGTGAGCAGAGATGGTGCCACTGCACTCTAGCCTGGGCAACAACAGCAAAACTCCATCTCAAAAAATAAAATAAAATAAATAAAATTCTCAAATCTTTAACTGTGGAAGTGCAATATTATCTGACAACTTGACAGAATTTATTCTTGTTCAGCTGGTGAACATAATTAAAAATAATAGCCAAACATAATTAAAAATAATAGCCAAAAAGTAGGTCAAAATTATAGCAAAGAGTTCAGTTTTGAAGTTTGAGTTCAGTTTATTCTAGTTTGAGGATAAGCACATAATTTATATATGATTAACTTCAAACTTCTAGACTTGGGAAGATGATAGGCTGTTGTGATTTAACTGTAAATTCCTATATAAAGAGAAAGAGCTTTTTGTGCACTGCCTTAGGAATAAGTTCGGCTTTTGGTCATGTGAGGAGAAAATATGGTCTGTACAAAAACCAAAAACTGGTAGTTTATGTAGTGCATCTATCCAGACATTGCTGTTCAGCCCACAGTGTTGCCAGATATTTGAATTAAATACAAACATTGAGAAATCGAAATATTTACACAAAAAGTCCAGAAATTTGGCTCTTCTTGAAAACTCAGAAGATCTGGCAGTATTGGATTCACGTATCCAAATGGCATTAGTAAGCAACAAATCACTGTAGCTAAGGGAAGGCTGCTACCCTTTTAACAGAAATGCTTTAATTTGTCATAATCCCCGCTAAGGCCTCTTACTTTACTCTGTCCAGCCTCAGAAACATGAACATTTTTGCCCCTTGTTATCAAACACCTATCTCCATATTAGTAACATCCACATCATTTTCAATCCACATCAATTAACACAAAAATTGTTAAAGTACATTGGAATACTAAAACTTTATTTTAATATGAACTTCTTTCTAACAAAGGACTCACAAAAGGATCTTCCCTACTGAACGATTATAATTTATTCCTTTCAACCAAATTTAAACCAAATAATAGCATTCTATTCTACTTCAATTAATTTCTCTCTATTGAAAGTACCACATACTTCTTTTACAGCATTCTCTTTCTGTGCAGGTTATGGCTAGGCAGAAATTCACCTTAGAACTTGGCCAAGCCTGGTAATCTACTCTTATGGCTTGTCTCTACAGTCACACCTTTAGACTGAATATATCATGTTCAATTACAGGAATATCATCCCGGCAAACTGCTGCCATATAAATCTTCCTAACACACAGCTCTAAGTAGATAATCACAATTTAAAGACTAAAGTCTAAATTACTGAGTTCAAAAAAAAAAAAAAAACAAACCTGTTACCTTGTAAGATTCAAGGCATTAAGGTTCTCAATTACTTGGTACCCACCTCAGAATTCAACCTTATCTCCCACTAATCTCTTTCACACATCTTACATTCAGGTTGGCAGACAGCGATGACTTCTTAATTTTTCAAAGGGTTAGGTGGAGTAGGGAGTTTTTGAATACACCTCCTGTCCTTCCTGCCCATATTTTAGACTATACAAATCCTACCCATCTTTGAAACCTCAATTTAAATGTTTCCTTCATTAAGTGATCCCAAACACCTCTCCACAAAGCCTTGAATCTGCATTGTAACTCTGTGTAGGTTCTAAAAAAATTATTGCTTTATACTTCAATTGTTTTTATATATTTCTCATGACCAGTACATATGAATTCTGTAGGTAGGATGTGTCTAATTACCGGGCAGTTACAATCAACAAATAACTCTGGTGTGTAAGAATACCTCTTCTTCTTGTTTTGTAGGATTTGGAAGGTCACTTCCAAAATTGAAACTGTTAAAAAAAAAAAGAAAAAGAAAAAGAAAAAAAAAACCCTTCAGTTTAGCTACTCCAAGAGATAAAAAAGGGCTTAAACAGAGATTCTAATATTTACTGAAATACTGTATTTTAAAAATACCGAAAGGGGGTTTGAATTTCCCCATCTGTACAAATAAAATTGGGTAAGTGTGTTCGTAGTGAAAAGAATGTTTGTGTTCAAACCACCTTCAAAGCATAATTTCACACCCCCTGCGCCCCTTGACATTCTGATACATTAAGTCTAACACTATGCCACCCAATGCCATCATAATTAAACCCGTTCCTCCACTTCCTAACATTTCCAAACTAGTTTATTATGCTGATTCTTAAGAGAAAATTTACTCACATTGGCCATCTCAAATGGAGAGGACAGTTCACAAAATAGCTTTCCTTTGGTAAAGTTATTCCTGGGAAAGAACACAACAAAAGAGACGAGGGATCGATTAAACTCTTAACGACAAACAACTCAGGTAACGTCCAGTCTTCGAAGTTGTGTCCTCCACCACGTCAGGACCAAAGTCCCAGCTCTACCCGTAACCTAAGGAGGCCAGAACTCGCCCCCATACCGGGCACAGATCCCCGAGCCTGGAGCGGGCAGTGGAGCTCAGAGCCCTCCCGGTTTACATCCGCTGAAAAACAACTCGGACCAGATCAGGGCCGAGAGTGGGGCTGGGCGGCCAGAATGCAGTCCTGGGGATCGAAGCGGCTGCTTTAATGGAGGTGGGGGCTGCACAACAACAGCTCCAGGTAAAGCCTCGGGCTGAGCTGAAGAATGAGGAAGCAGAAAAAAGCCTAAAGGCAGAGGGAAAGATGGCAGGGAACAACGACAGGGACCCAGGGAAAATAGGGGCAATACCGAGGGCTGTAGCCCCAACACAGGCGATATTGGAGGGGCTAACGCGGGCGGAAACCATCCGTACCAGTCACCACCTCTGCCTCCAGCTGTCCTAGAACCTGACACTTCCAGCCGTCGAAATGGCGGCGGCGACGCCAGCGGTGGTAGCGCCTACGCGGGCAGTGGCCAGGCAGAAGAAGTTGCTTTCGAGAGCGTCGATGCGAAGGATAGTCGAGCCGATGTCGCGCACGCGTAGAGTAGGCCTATGTGGAGCTGACTTTCCATTGGGTAAACACATGGGAGGGGAAAAGCGCGGCGCGGGGTGATTTGGGTGGTTGAAGGGGAGGGCTCCTGACATGCCTTAGGCGGGTCAATTAGCTTTCATTAACGCCTGGATGCAATTGATAGGCTTCCCAACTTAAGCCTTTTTTACTGCCTCCAGGACATACAGTGTTCTGTTCTTTTTGTCATAGCTGTTTATTTTTCGTGAGTCGCTGTTTTTGAGCATAGGGCACTTACCTTTTTTCCATATCTCCAGTCCTACCACAGTGCCAGCCAGGCTCTCAATAGGCTCAATAAATAAATGTTAGGAGTTTGATTTGGAAATCGTATATCATTTTCATGTATCTAATATGTTTTTAAAAATGGACTAAAACCTATAAGCCCATATTTTATTTCAGATGTCCTTAGTTTTGGACCTTGTGTTCTTTTCCGTTACAGGATTCTGTCCAGAATACATCACCATGTGACTCCCCAGGATTCTCTAGACTGTGACCGTTTCTGAAACTGTCCTTGGTTTTGATAACCTTAATAGTTTTGAGGCGACTTATCAGGAATTTGGTCCAATGTCCTTCAATTGGGTTTTGCCTGTATTTTTTTCTCATGCATTAACTAAGGTTACAGGTTTTTTTGTTTTTGTTTTTTTGAGTAAAGAGGTAAGGTTAAGTGATCTCATCACGTCACATCAAGGGTATATTCTATCCACGTGACTTAACTACTGTTAATGCTAACCTTTATCACCTTTTTAATGTAGGGTTTGTCAGGTTTCTCCACTGTGAAGTCACTCTTTTTCTTTTCCTTTCCATATTATACTCTTTGGAAGAACATCACTCTGTGCAGCCCAAGCTATAGGAATGGGAGATTGTTATACTCCACCTTTATGAGGACAGAATATCTTCATAAATTATTTGGAATTGTTCTACATAGAAGATTTGTCTGTACTCCTGCATTTGTTTATGTATTCAATCATTTATGTTAGCATGGACTCATGGATATTTATTTTACATTTTGGGTTATAATCCAATACTACTTTATTTTGTTGTTCATATTGTTCCAGCTTTGGCTATTGAGCTTTCTTTTAGTTGGCACTTAAGTCTTTTTGACACACTCTCATCGTTTTATGTTTATTGATTTTTTTCTTGAGCATTTTCTTAATTTCTATAAGGCTCATCTTGTATATTCCCTGCCCCAATCCTAAAATCAGCTGCTTCCCCAAAGAGCCAAGGGTCCTTTTAATGGAAAATGATATTAGAAGTCAAGATTTGGACATTTGGAGTATTGTTGCTTCTAGACCCTCTCAGATGATATAGCAAAGAAATATATGTGCATATACTAACCTGACTGAATATGCATATCTGTAAGTATTTATATATGTATCCATCTGTACCTTTGACAGCTACATAGGAGTTCTAAGTTCAAAAACTAGAACTGTTATTTTCAGTTCAATTCCATCATCATGTGGATCACTGTATCCTTCTCCCCTTGCTTGTTTATAACCTTTCACTCCAGTGTGAGACACGTGGCTCTCATCGTCTGCCATCCATTTACCTAACTGTCCAAATTCCAGGTTACATGTGTAATGGATTCATAACTGTTAACCTGAATTCAGTGTACATGTATAGTTGTTTATGAATTGTTGTCAGTCATACCTGTTAGAAACAGATTTACCAATTAGAGTACAATGCTTACGTACAGTTCTTTTGCTTTTAATCTTATAGACTCCACTTATTTTCAAAGTTGTTGAAGTCAGCAAACTTCCCTCCCACCTCTACCTGGCCTCAGTGAAGTTATTTTATATGCTTGTAATATGGTTGTGATCTTTTGCCACAATCTGCATTCCATTCTGGGGTTCCTAAGATTTTTAAAAATTTCTTCATCCATTTAAGTTCTCTTTGTGCATATTGCATATCTATTTCTTCTTTTCCTGTACATAGTGGGAAATAGCTGGTCAGTAGTAGGATGGAAGTCAAAAATTTTTCACTTTAAATTGTCTTTTTCTATAGGGTTTGACAAATCCATACATAAGTATCATGGATATACCATTATTATGGTGTCATACAGAAAGGTTTTACAACTATAAAAAGATCCTTTTTGTTTCATCTAGTAAACCCGCCCACTTCCCTATACCTCTAGCAACCACTGATGTGTTCACTATCTCAATTTTGACTTTTCCAGAATGACATAGAAATGGAATATTTTTTTTCTTTTCTTTTCTTTTTTTTTGGACAGGAGAATCACAAGGAATCAGGTGTTCAGAGGAATGTATTGAGTAGAGGTGAGGAACTAGGATGTTGAAAAGTAAAAAAAGGAGAGAAGGAGAGGAAGAAAGAGGAAGAAAAAGAGGGAGAGAGAACAGTAATATTGCTTCATTCTAAAAATGGGTATTAATAATGGCCGATCAATATTTTGTGTATTTAAAATGGAGAACTCTATATATATTTATTGAGTTTACTTGTTCTGGATCTGAGTTGAAGTCCTGGATATCCTTATTAATTTTCTGTCTCTTGAGTCTAAATCTCGTTATGGGTCTTATGTATCTGGGTATTAAGATCTCTTATTGTTGCATTGATCCTTTTACCACTGTATCTTTGTTGCTTTGAAATCTATTTTATCAAATGTGAGAATTGCAACTCCTGCTTTTTGTTTATTTATTTATTTTTGCTCTCCATTTGGTTGGTAAATTTTTCTCCAACCCTTTGTTTTGAGTCTTTGTGTATCTTTGGATATACCGTTAGGTTTTGGCTGTATCTTTTGATTGGGGGATTGAGAGATCAAAGATGGCTGATCACTAACAGCTCAGGATTGTAGCTCCCAGTGAAAGCTCAGAGAACGAGAGGACACCACACTTTCAGACGAATTTTCGTTGCTCACGGACCAGCAGATTTCTAGTCAAGGAGCCCCACGGGTCGCCAGCGCGACTCTTGTGGCCAGTGCAGCGGTTTTGCCGGCGCCTTGGCGCGGCAGCTCTTCATGCAGAGTAAACGGGACTGGTTCCCTTACTGACTGGTGTTTGGAGCTCTGGGAAGGCAGAGCCACTTGTTGCAGACTCAAGAAGGAAGCCAGACCAGAGATTCCCGGGCAGAAGAGCACCATCAGTCTTATCGCTGCTTATCGCTGTGCTGCTTGAATCCCAGCACGGGGAATCAATAAATTGGACGTCGACTCAGAAACCTAATTAGAAAGGCGGTAATTGTAAAGACGACAGATGGATAAATTTATAATAAAGGGGAAAAATTAGCCTAAGAAGGCCGAGCATACCCAAAATCAGAACCCCTCTCCCTCTACAGGGGATTGCAGTTCCTCATCAGCAATGGAACAAGCCCTGATGGAAAAGGACTGTGTTCCATTATCTGAAGTAGGCTTCAGAAGGTGGATGATAAGAAACTTCTGGGAATTAAAAGAACTTGTTCTAACCCAATGTAAAGAAACTAAGAACTTTGAAAAAAGGTTTGATGAAATGCTGAAAAGAATAGACAATATAGAGAGGAATATAAACGAACTAACGGAGTTGAAAGATACAACACGATAACTTAGTGAAATATGCACAAGTTTAAATAGCAGAATGGATCAAGCAGAAGAAAGGATATCAAAGGTCGAAGATCAACTTAATGAAATAAAACGACAAGACAAGAATAGAGAAAAAAGGATGAAAAGGAATGAGCAAAGTCTCCAAGAAATATGGAACTATGTGAAAAGACCCAATCTATGTTTGATTGGTGTACCTGAATGTGATGGACAGGATGAATCCAAGCTGGAAAATACTTTTCAGGATATTATCCAGGAAAATTTTCCCAATCTAGCAAAGCAGGACACTATTCAACCCCAGGTAATACAGAGAACACCACAAAGATATTCCTCAAGAAGAGCAACCCCAAGGCACATAATCGTTAGATTCACCAGGATCGAAATGAAGGAGAAAATACTAAGGGCAGCCAGAGAGAAAGGCCAGGTTACCCATAAAGGGAAGCCTATTAGACTTACAGCAGATCTCTCAGCAGAAACCCTACAAGCCAGAAGAGAGTGGGGGCCAATATTCAACATACTTAAAGAACAGAACTTTCAGCCTAGAATCTCATATCCTGCCAAACTAAGCTTCACAATTGAAGGAAAAATAAAATCTTTTATGAACAAGCAAGCACTCAGAGATTTTATTACCACCAGGCCTGCTTTACAAGAACTTCTGAAAGAAGCATTATACATAGAAAGGAACAACCATTATGAGCCTTTCTAAAAATATACCAAAAAGTAAAGAGCATCAACATAAATAAGAATTTACATCAACAAATGGATAAAATAGCCAGTTAACACCAAATGGTAGTAACCCTAAATAGAAATGGAATAATGCAGTATATAGCATTTTCAGGCTGGGTTTCTTCACATAGTAATAGCTGCATTTAAGATTCATTCACGTTTTTGTATGGCATAACAGTTGATTCCTGCCTTTTTATGGATTTTTTTAAAGACACGGTCTTATAGCTCTGCTGCCCAGGCTGGAGTACAGTGCTCACTATAACTTCAAATTCCTGGGCTCAGGCAACCCTCCTGCCCAGGTAGCTGGGATTACAGGTGCACACCATCATGCTTCACTAATTGTAAAAAATTTTGTAGAGAAAGAGGTCTCATCCTTCAGGCCTCAAGTGATCCTCCCACCTCAGCCTCTCGAAGCCTTAGTATTATAGGTGTGAGCCTCTATGCCCGGCCTGTATTTCTGTCTTTTTGATTCCTCAATAGTATTCTAATGTATAGATGTACCACCATTTATACCTATTAAAGAACATTGTGATTTCTTCCAGTTTTTGACAATTGTGAATAAAACTGCCAGTAAGTATTTATGTGCAGGTTTTTCTGGGGACATGTTTTCAAGTCAGTTGAGTAAATATCTAAAAGCACAATTTTTGCCAATTGTATTTTTGTAAGATATT